TTTGCAAGTGGATTTTCCTTTTCGCACTGGAAAATCCAGTTGTAGACAATCACTAAAGTGCATTGAAAGTGCATTATTCCACTGTGTGTGAAAGCAGTTCCTTTAAATAGATTCTTGGAATGAGATGGGGTAATGGTGATTTTTGGTAATGGAAGAAAAATTGGAAGGGATGGTTTCATTGAGATGGTGTGCTGGATTTATTTCCTCCCGTAAAAGCCACCAGCACGAGGAGTTCATTTAATACAGAGCCCATTTGGGGGCAATCATAAAAGGAAACAGTGGTTATAGAAATGGTGCCTGATCCTGAAAGCGCATGGCTTGCGCGGCAGGCTCATTCTTTCAGAGATGCTTTGCCATAACACAGAACCTTGTGAAGTAAACCGAGGATCTAAAATAGCGAAAGAGAAATGTGCACTCGAGGGAGGGGGAAATAACATGTCACACACAAACAAGGGCGCAGACCAGAGCACATTTGAAAGTGAAGGTTCCCTTGCTCGAAAGCCAGTCGAATCCGACTCTAGGGTTGCGGTGCTCATCTCCATTTCAAAGCTGAAGAGCCAGCGCTGTCCGAAAACGTTTCCGTTTACTGTCATTTAAATAGCCCTTCTAAAAGATGATTTCTAAGACCATTTCAGTAGTAAATTGAAATAAGCTATTTTTCCTCTCTGCTTTCTAGTCCCCCCCCCTTTGCCCTTTGAAAGCATGAGTGCCAAGGACAGTCGGTTAGAAAGAGATCTAGAAATCTGATTAAAAGCAAATCATATCTGTACTTGCCAATTCTGGTAGTCCAAAAAAGACAACGCAAACACAAGAATGGCCCTGCTGGATCAGACCAGTGATTCATCTCATCTAGCATCCTTTCACACACAGAAGACCCTGCAAGGCCTGAAAGACATAGGCACAGAAGCCTGAACATTCTTAAAAACATAAGAAGAGCCCTGCTGGATCAGACCAGTGGTCCATCTAGTCCAACCAAAAAAAAAGAGGGGAAAGACTCTAATCCAACAAAGCACAAACCTCCAAAGGGAGTTTAGAAAACTTATTGAGGGTCAAAAGTTAAAAACATAAGTGTACAAAAGAGTGTTTATTACAAAGACATATAGAAACCTAGTAGGGGCCCAAATAAAGCCTCATAAAATGTTCCAAGTTACAAATACACACAAAAAAGGGCAGTATATGACCTGACGCATTTCGGCTCACAAGAGCCTTCTTCAGACATCAAATAATGCAAAATACAGCAAGCAACAGAGTCCCTGTAACACATGTAAGGCAATTAACAATAAATAAAATAGGACCAAAATTGGAATGTTCCAATATGGAATTGAGTGGCACACCAAAAAGTTTCTATTTGGGGCCACAAATATATCTGGCCTTGTGTCAGAAGTAGCTGTATATACTGGAAAGAATATTTACCTTCCAGTTTAGGTCCTAAGAGTGCAAAAAAAATTGCCTTGTCACGGACAATGTGCCATCAATATGTACAGTCACCCCTGGAGGTCAACAACAGGGCATAGAGGCCATGGCCTTCCGTTGATGTTGACTCCTGGCACTGGTGTGCAGCGTTTGCTGCCTCTGCACAGCATTTACTGCCTCTGCACTGCCTCCCTTTAGTCACCTCACCTCTAGCCACTGATGGACCTGTCCACCATGCTGTTACCCTCCAGCAGTGGGAATTCAGAGAGAAACCACCTCCATTTAGCCAGCAAAACTAATAACCAGTAATGGACCAGTATTCCATTAACTTGTCCAATCCCCTTTTTTAAAATCTCAGACTCTGCTAAATTCAGGGATATGATTGCCAGGTCTCCTGCTGTGGCAGAAGAACTCCCGCAGATAGCTCATGCTTCCTGCCACCACTCCTTTGGGTGGCAGGAGATTTTTTTTTTTAATTGCCATTACCGTTGCTCTAAGAATCACTGGATATTCTATGGTTTTACCCAGGGCTTTTTTGGTAGAAAAAGCCAAGCGGGAACTCATTAGCATAATAGGCCACACCCAACAGCAGAAACTCATTAACATATTAGGCCACACCCTGAGATAGCAGCTCATTAGCATATTAGGCCACACCTACACATTACCAGAAGTGTGGTCATCCAGCCACACCCACCTTTTGCTTCTTATTCTATTTACCTTGTTTGTTGTCAATATCCAGGGCTTTTTTTGTAGCAGGAACCCTTTGCATGTTAGGCTACACACCCATAATGTAGCCAATCCTAATGAGTTTCTGCTGTTGGGTGTGGCCTATTATGCTAATGAGTTCCTGCTGGGCGTGGCCAACTCGGGAGCCAGCCGGAACTCCGTTCCTGTACGTTCCTGCCCAAAAATAGCCCTGGTTTTACCATGGAGTTTTTGGTGATTCCTAGAACACCATGATGTCACTTTCAGTTTTCCCCAAAAGTGACATCACGTTGCACAATGACAGTGCTCGCCATGCCCTGCGCCCCAACTTCCAGAAGGGTGCCAGCCATCAGCTGGCAACCCCAGCTGTTCCATGTATTTAAACACACAGTTGCCCCAATCACAACAGCAAGAAAAGAGCATGTGTTCAGCTCTCATTGCCACAATCCGCACAAGCATGAGATTTATCAGTTTTAATGTGCCTTCAGCTTGGTTCTTCGGGCACATCTTTTGTTCTGCTGCTACTTTTTGTTTCATTAGCTGTTCACACATTACTGGTCAACCGTGTCCAGGTGGTTTCCTTTTAGAGCAGCAGAGAACAGATCTCTTCCTTCTTCCACAAGACAGTTCTTCAGGTATATGAAGAGTTCATTCACATTTTCCCTCAGTCTTCTCTTCATCCTCATCTGGCCATTCTCTAAATACAAAGTTTACTACAGTTTCTCATTGCTAGTAACTATGTCATAGGCATGGAAATGGCACCTCCCCCACCTTCAGAGGAACAACATGTCCCATTTTTGTGGAGTTTATTTTTAGCCACCGTTTTTAGCCACCATTCTGGTGCACCATCTATGCCTATAAGAAAAGAAACCGATGAAAACAAATGCCGGTTTCTCACAAGGGGAAAACGAAATCAAAATATTCAACTTGAACCAAGTTTTAAGTATTTGTACCAGCCGATGCCCACATTCATCTCTGCATCTCCTTTACATTCTTTGCTCTACTATTTCCCTGTGATCGGCTTTAGGTTGTAAATCCCTTGGGGGCAGGGACCAGTCTGTTTTTGCCTACACATCCCTGTAGCTACACATCCCTTGTAGATGGACTGAGTTGTGTGAACAATCATGGGATACCTACAATTTTAGACTGTTAGATTTTTATTATGGGATATGAACCTGGGTCTCCCTTGCATTAGTCCAACACTTTAAATGTTTAACAGTGCTGAATGTCACCTCCCCCCCCAGAATATGTATCTGCTAGGCATGTACTCTGTGAGAAAGTGGTATAGATGAGACTCTGGAGGCCTGGGGGTCTTTCATTAAGGCCACAACACATGATTACATCTAATTTTGAGCAATGGCCTCAGATTGTGGATCAAAAATCTGCACAATGGGGCCACGTACAGATAATGAATATGTTCCTACAAGCCTAGGAGAAGCTCTCCTTCTCTGGAGATTTTTAAGCAGAGGCTAGATGGCCATCTGACAGCAATGCTGATTCTGTGAACTTAGGCAGTTCATGAGAAGGGAGGGCGGGAAGGGTTGCATCAGTACTTAGTTCTTTTTGTCCAGGGAAATGCTGATTGCCATTTTGGGGATCAGGAAGCAATTGTTCTCCAGGCCAGTTTGGCCAGAGATCGTGGAAGGGTTTTGGGGTTTCTTTGTTTTTTTACCCTCTCCTGGGCGCAGAGCAGGGGTCACTGGGGTTGTGTGTGGGGGAGGTATTTGTGAATTTCCTGCCTTGTGCGGGGAGTTGGACTGGATGACCCTGGAGGCCCCTTCCAACTCTATGATTCTAGGTTTGCAAGAAAATAAGAAATGTTTTAAAAAAATGAGGGAAGGGTGTCAAAACCTCTAAAATAATAGAACCCCAGGGAGCCTCGGGTTGTCCCACTTGGAAAATATGAGTGGATTATCAATACACCCATTTTCCCCAATGGGCAAGCAGCAGTCCCTGGAGCCATTTCAAGACAGAAAAGAAAACATTGAAGGCTTAAGCCCCCTCTGTCTGCACACTATGGAGAATCTAAGTTTCAACTGGATTCTATGGAGAATCTAAGTTTCAACTGGAAATTCCCAGCAAACATGTGCTTGACATTATGTGGGAGCAGTAGTGGAGGAAAGGTGGCATGGTACCGCCCGATCTCATCAGATCTTGGAAGCTAAGCAGAGTCAGCTCTGGTTAGTACTTGGATGGGAGACCTCCAAGGAAGACTTCAGAAAAGGGGAATGACAAACCACCTCTGCTTCTCAGTTGCCTTGCTGGGGTTGCCCCTTGTTGGGGTCACCATAAGTCAGTTGCGACTTGATGGTAGTTTACACACAGAGACATGCACATATTGTGTAGTTAGGCTCTGGGCTGATTAGTTCTTCATCTGAGCTGTACCCCTTCAGATTGTAGTTGGAGCAACTGTATGCAACAATTGTGTGACCCAGCATTGCATTCTGGGTTTGTTACCATACTGAGAAAAAGGGTTAGGAAATGGCGTGGCCCTATATGTAGGTACTCATGAATACATATGTGTGTTTTTATGGCTGCACACACTGTACAATTGTGATTGGCTGCAATTTCCCAGCATCTGTATCACCCATATACACTCAATAGCTCATCTCACCATAGGAAATCGGGTAGTGGTTTCACAGCATCCCTAGTCATGGGATACGGCGCTTGATTTCAAATGTGTCCCGTATAAAAGATGCATGGCATTGCATCCGGTATAAAATGTTATTGTTCCTTCTTGCATCCTCTTCATAAAGAATATAGCCTTTGTGGTGCGCTGAGATGAAAGGCAGTCTTACTTCTGAAGCTGCCATGAGCCAGCAAAGTGTTACTCGTTTTTAAATTTCTAACTTCGCGTCTTCATCGTTGCTGTTTTAAACCAGGCCTTGATGACTGCCTCCAACAATACATAAAGAACTTTGAGAGGGAAAAGATCAATGGAGAGCAGCTATTGCACATCACTCATCAGGAGCTTGAAGAGTTGGGGGTCACTCGGATTGGTCACCAGGAACTCATTCTGGAAGCGGTGGATCTGCTCTGCGCTTTGGTAAGTGAGTTTGTTACCTTAGAACTCCCTCCACAACGTGTTTCGTGTTATCTTCTCAATCCAAGGTAAGGAAGTCCTTATTACGGTTGCCAACCTCTGCATTGTGAAGACCTTGGGTTCTGTTATTAGTAAACATGAAATGTTTCCTTCAGGAGTTGATAAGTAGTGATTGATAAGAATTGGGATTGCTACAGGCTCAGACAACACAAATATTGTGAAACGAATTGTTCATTGCGCAGTATTCGTTAGCGTGTGAGCGATAATAGAAGAAAGTTTTCTACAGAAATTACTACAGTAAACATTTTTGCAACTTATGTTTATTGACTCTTCATTATTTTTGTCACGGATGTTGCTTTTGGAATTCCACTTCCTCACGTGATCTCTCATTTTTAGCTTCTGACCTCCAGGTGGTGGCTGGAGATCTCCGGCTATTACAACTGATCTCCAGGTGACAGAGATCAGTTCACCTGGAGAAAATGTCCACTGTGGAAGGTGACCTCCAAGGCATTATACCCCTTTGAAGTCCCATGCCTCCTCAAATCCCACCCTAACCCCCAAAATCTCCAGGTATTCCCCAACCTGGAGCTGGCAACTCAAGTGCTTGTATGTGCATAAAATCAGGAGCCCCTCTAGTCAGCAATGGACAGTGAAGAAATCTAACAGGAAGAAAGCTGATTCATTTAAAATGTAGTGTTGGAGGAGAGTTTTATGGAGACTGTGGACCGCCCAAAAGTCAAATAAGTGGGTTCTAGATCAAATCAAGCCTGAACTCCGCCTAGAAGTTAAAATGACCAAACTAAGGCTATCATACTTTGGTAGACAAGACTCACTGGAAAAGACAGTAATGCTAGGAAAAGTTGAAGGCAACAGGAAAAGAGGAAGACCCAACCTGAGACAGATTGATTCAGAAAAGGAAGCCAGGGGGCTCAGTTTGCAACACCCGAGCAAGGAGGTTTTGGAGGTCATTAATTCATAGGGTTGTCATAAGTCGGAAGTGACTTGCCTGCACTTAACCCCCATCCCACACACGGTCCTCAGAAAACTGCATTCATCATGTTGTTGTGCTATATAAAATCCTTTTCAGAGAGAGAGATATTCTGCACCCCTCCAGTGCTTCAACCCAGCCCCCTACAGAGCCTTTCTGCTTCCCTCTCTGTGTCTTTTCCAGAATCCAAACCGTTGTTTCTTTACACATTACATGGAGGGGGGCTACCTCCTCCAAGCCCTGATGGAGGCTTGGACAGACCCAGTTTCTAGCGAAGCCCAGAAGGGAGACATCTACACTTGCCCTCCCGTTGCAGCACACCGCTTCAGGCCAAACCCAGGAGATAGACTCATTCACAGTAATCCATTCCTCCAAGTTCTTAAGGGCCAGATTATGAGTTCTCAGTGGGTTGTGTCTGGGTTCCCTGACTTTGAATCAGACGGTTGCACGTCAGCTGCTAGGTGCCTGCTGGAAACCCATTTTCTATGCTCCAGTTCAGATCAGCTGTGGAAACTCGAGCTGCAGTGTTAGAAGAGTCAAACAACAAATATATACACTGCAAAAACCTTTTTTATAAGTTAAAGTGTTCTATATGTTCCATCTTATAAAGTGCATTGTGTATTATTCATAATATTCTAAAACAGGTATATATTCATTACATGCAATATCAACAATAATAATCAGTTTGTACAATCTAATAGCTACCAGTCAATTTACATCCTTTTTACACAATCAGCTAGTTCAGATCAGGACTGCAACATGCATGGAGAAGAAGCTTCACTCTTTTCATCTTCCTGATTTGAAACGGCTTCAGGATGTGCTGCTTGTGTCCTTTGGGGCTGTATGTGTACATTCTGATAAGCTTCATGTGCAAACCCCCCCCCCCCCAGGGGGGGAAATGGGGCCATTTCAGATTGGGGAAATGGCAGATCAGATGGCAGATCAGAACCTGGGAACCATGCTGGGAGGGAAGTCACAGCTGACTAGTTGAAAATTATAACATGCAATTTGACCTTGTGACAGACTGTGCTGTAAAAGCTCATAAGTGCTGTGTAAACATGTGAAGGACTGTGAAGGGTTAATGCCTCTCAGAGCCTTGAGTGACAACCTGCTCAAAGGGATTTGATTGGCTAGTGTCAGTTGAGCAGAAAGATTTGGGAACTGACTGCTGACTGAGAACTGGAACAGTTTAGCCCTGACTGAGGATAGTTTAGCACTGAGAAAAGTTTAACACTGAGTGAGAACTGGGAAGGTTGGCCAGGAGGAGTGGGAGGATTGGTGAAGACCCCATTCAGGCCAGAAAAAGGAACAGATATTCTAGTTAGAGAAGTGATTCCCTGCCCAGTTGATAAGGGAGATAGCTCAAAGATTGGAGTGATCCCTGGAGTGTTTAGAGAAGGAATTTGGGTACTTGGTAGTATATCCCTGCCTTCTGAAATCTGAAGAGTCAGTTATACTCAAGGAAGTGTATTGAAAAGTCTGTGAAAAGCTTTAAAACTCTCGCTTGCTGGAAACATATGAACTGGAGTTTGTGATTATAATAAGTCACAGAGTTATATTAGATTCACCTCAGACATTTTACCCCTGATTCACCTGACTTTTCCCCTCTGTGTTGAATAAAATATCTTATTTTTGAACATTCTAAAGTCTCTTGTGTGCCATTTTCAGAAGTTTAAGAGGTGATCTTGTCTCTTCCCTCAAGTTCCTGTGCTGAGCCAGCAGCAAAATACAATCAAATGACAGGGTGGGACATCCATAGATCTTCAGAAAAGAAGAAAATAGATAAAGGGGCTGCTTAGCCAGAAAAGAAGGAAAAACCAGTAAGAAAATCCTGTGTCTGAGTGAGGGAACGGTGCTAGGTTGTCACAGTCCCTAACATAATCTTGTGATCAGTGCTTTAAACAGCAAAATAAGTAAGACAGACCACAAGATGCATGACAGGGAAAGGACACAGCCACAGAGAGATCAGGATTTACTGCAGAGACTGGTAGGTGGTATTGAAGAATGAAAGTGCAGGGAAGCTGGGGCTAGGGTTGCCAGTCTCCAGTTAGTGGCTGGAGATCTCATGGAATTACATACAACTAGTCTCCAGGTCAAAGAGATCAATTCCCCTGGAGAAAACAGCTGCGTTAGAAGGTGGATTCTATGACATTATACCCTACTGAGGTCTCTCTCCTTCCCAGACTTTACCCCCCCCCCTAATGTTCAGGAATTTCACAATCCAAAATTGGTAACCCTATGCTGGGCTCAGAGTATGAGTTCCTGTTTTTCAGTTCATACCCAAAGAGCTGCTAGAGCAGCCTTTGAATGGAAAAGCAGTTTTAAAAACCAGAGAAAATGAAAATGGTAAATCCAAATAAATGTTGGTATGCCATCTGTATTTTTGCTCGAGTTCCTGAAATTTTTGTTTCAACAGCTCTTCTTAATGAACACATCCAGACGGTTTTAAACTCCTCCAGTCCATGTTTTTTTCTTTCTTTCTAAAAAGCAGTTTGGAATCAGAGCCTCTCCAACTAGCACCAATACTCTGCCTTCTTGCTGTGTTCTACACAAATGGATGTTTCTGAGTGGTTTTCAAGGACAGCTCCATGTTCACCACATTGTGGTAGTCCCTCTCTCAGTTTTCATAGGCCCCAGCACAAGTTTGCTGATCATCGCTCTAACCGCCAGCCACAGTGTTCATACTTTAATCTGGTTCTGTGCCATCTCTCTTCTTCCATTCCATTTGGGCTCACCCCAGTGACTTTATAATCTGCACATTGTGCACATTTATGCTCATGCATGGAAGTCTAAGTCTTGAGGATGCAGAAGTGCCAGATGGCAGTGATAATTAGACTGGAAGATGATTGTTTAAAAAAGGAGAAAAGAATGTATAACTCTTCCACCCTCCTTTTCCAAATGTGGAAAATAGAGATTACAACCACTTATAAGGGACATCTTTGAATGCATTTGCCCCTTTCTTGAGTCCTAGTTTTGGGGAATGTTACACATTGTCCTCTTGTATGAGCCCATGTGCCAGCTTCACTGTGTGTGTTAAGTGCCTTCAAGTCGCTTCCAACTCATGGTGACTCTATGAATTAATGATGTCCCATCAGTCATAGTCTTGCTCTGGCCTTGCAAACTGAAGACTGTGGCTTCCTTGATGGAGTCGATCCATATGTTGGGTCTTCCTCTTTTCTTGCTGCCTTCAAGTTTTCCTAGCAGTTTCCCCAATCTCTTAAATTTTTATAGTCCTCTTCCCAAATTCAGGCCTTCTCAGTTGGATCCCTGTCCCGCTAGGGTGGTCTTCCAGTGGAGGTGAGGTGGGCACATTTCTTGTCAGTGCTTACAGGGCACTGCCAAGTGATTGGCTTTTCGGAGGCTTTTGGTTCTTACTAGGCACTGCAAAGTGATTGGCTTTTCGGAGGCTTTTGGTTGGATATGTACGGTTATGATTGCATTTTGTTACGTCTGTAGGTTGGTGGTCCTTTTTGGTAGACTTTCCTTTTTGAGTTATGTGTTAAAAGTATACTTTGGGGATTGTGCTTGTCCTGTTTTTTTATGATTGTGCTATTTATAAGCCACCTTGAGCTCCTTTCTCTTGGTGGAAAGGCAGAGTACAATAATTTCAGCTAAATGGGAAAAAAACCCACACCTGCTGCATTCATTTAGTCTGCAACAGATTGTCTTCTATAGAGTTTTGAAGCTGGAAGTACTACTAAATTTACCAGACCATTTTCCTTTGAAAAAGAGAAGATTTAACACTTTTACAATGCAATCCTACAGCTGTTACAACTTTCTAAGCAATTTTAAAGACTTTAAAAGAAGCATGTAGCTGTGTTTAGGATAGCACTGTTACAGTGCAATCCTAAAGCAGAGTTACACCCTCCTAATTCCATTAAAGTCAGTATCATGTTCAACAGCAAGTAAATCTCCACACATGATTTCAGGGAAACATTATGCTTTATTAGATTACAGGTCCGTTGCCATGGTCTACAGGGATATTGTTAGGAATGGGGTGGATACATCCCTTCAT